GTGAAAGACCCATCGATTGCAAATAATTTTTCAAGTAGAAAACTAACAAATGTGGAAATGTATATGCATAAATAGCTAGATTGGTTGAAAAGGATATAATTAAATTTACGGAGTTGACTATAACACAAACCCATTCACCAATCGGAATGCTTAAGTCTTTTCTTGATTGATCTAGCAAAATAGAACATATGACATATGGCAAAATAGATACCAAAACCGCCTTCCCAAAATAGGATTTTGGAAGTGACTATGGAATAGTCTAAGGGTTTTGAAAATCTAAATAATTCTAGATTTGAAAGCAAGCTCAAGGAATCTGTCATGGGATTAAAGGAAGCATTGCATATAGGAATTTGAACGTGTTTTCTCATAAAGTTAATAAGAGTATTGGCTTATGGAGAAACATAGAAATTTTGATGAATAAGAAGTTTAGTGGGAGCAAAAGTAAAGGTCCAACGAGAAGTTTACGAACTCTATTGAGAAACACTATCAAATGCTAAATTTTTAGATTTGAAAGTATTTTGACAATGGACCAAGCTAAAGGCGATACTTAGTATACATATTGGGAATTAAGTTCTATGGTATAGACTTAATTAAATGTTTACCATATTAAACATGAAGGACTTTGAAAGGCTTTCGATCCATACGTATAAAACTAAGTAAATGTTTGAACTAAGTATAAGCTAGGCTAAACACTAAGTCAAACAAGAAAGACTCTAGTAAGAGACTTTCAACCATATCACATAGCGAACAATTTAGCAAAGACTTAGTGAAACTGAATGAGCTAAAATGTCAAATTGATGGGATAAAGATTTAAAATCATTCTACAATTAAATCCATCATGTAAAGCTATGATATGGAATCATCACACGACTTACTTGCTTAGAGCATTTGAAGTATGTATATACTACCAATCAACTTGAATCTAAGTATTAGATTATAGTCAAGATCATCGAAAACACTTGGATGAGTTTGAGGATGAGTTAGAGGATGAGTTCTTGACGCATGGAAACAAGTATAATTTAACATTGATGATGCAAGCACAAACCTTAAATAAGGATGAAATCCTTAATAAGGAATCCATTTGTAAGCACGAGGTAAGAAGCATCATGGCTTGAGAAATGGTAACATGGATGTGCATCCATGTATAATGTGCGGAAATTTAAGGTAAATTTCCATGATCACAAGTGATTAGGGTATCCCAAATCATTGTGAGCCGTTTGGAGTGAAACCCAAGCAAAGCATCATCAGGAAGTCTACTAAAATATATGTTGAGAATATTGTTGCCTTAATGACGATAATAAAGAAGATGTTCTATGGAAAGTTCGTTGCTTAACGTTAATGATTGTAGGTTGTCAAGTTGAAGGTCTTAATCATGAAAATGAGTGGGAGCCATCACTTGGACAATAAATCCTAAATCACATATAATCCAGGGCACTCTCAAATTTTATCTTCTTATTATGAATGTGATCAGTAATGAAGATGCTAAGATTAGCAAAGTTGTTATAACTAAACCTATGCAATAAGTGAACGACAACATTCACAATTGCATGAAAGAAATCAAGCATATTAGATATGGGTGTGATTTCTATAGTTGTTTTATAAAGAGTGATACTCTTATAACATTTTGAAAAACCATTTATCATAAGATGAACCATTCAGGTTTTGGAGTAATTTAAAATTTCATGCAATTTTATCACTCCGTTTTCTTTTTAATTGTGGTTTAGAATTAAATAATGAGTCCATTTGATTGTAAAGAATATTCAAAATAGGGTATCAAGACAATGTCTTGGATAAAGAAACACCTATTAAGTGAACATTGAATATTTTAATCGAAAAATATCCCTAATCAAGGTCATTTATTTTGTGGACGATTAATGACCATTAGAGATTAGTGTGTAGTATGATTTATAGCACCGTTTCTTGTGCTATAGGGACATAAATCATTTGCGCATGTATTTGTTTAGTACCATACTGGATCGACCTATGAGAATACTTTAAGAGATTCAAAATCGTCATAAGTATATTTCTCATTATTGCTATCGGAACTCTTTTCCTTGACCATGAGTATTGTGCGGTCTCTTGTTTGAGTACTAGTCCATTTTTTATGTCGGTCAAACGTATGCCATAATTGGTTATTATAACGACGGCTATCAGGCGGCTAGGTCCTCTTAGTAAGAGAAGCTACATTACAAGAATGGGAATGTCCCCCTACTAATAATAGGGAATATGTCTTGTTGTTTACAAGGCCTCTCAAAGAGTGAGACTGTGAAAATGCATGGTCGTGCTCACTTCAGGACGTAACAGGGATGACGAATAATCTTACCCTGTAGTTCATGAAGAGACATGAAGAGACATAGGAAAGGGGATATACACTGAATGCTCACTTGTCAGGAAGGACAAGTGGGAGATTGAAAGGAATGGTGTCCTTCGAACAAGTGTATTATTCTGATAGTGGGTTCAAAATTATTAGAAAGCTAATATATTCAGTAAGGTCAAGTGATCGAAATGCCTAGGTGGAGGCCGCTTCCAATCAGTAATATTAATGAATAATAAATATTACAGCTTAATCTTGACTAAACCCTTCGGGTCACACCCAAGCAATTAACGAAACGACTCGACAAATTAATTCAGAAGAAATTAATGAGTTGCTCGTGTATTAAATATTTAGACGTCGAAAATTCGAGCTTGGAGTGTCGAAACCGAGCATCGGAGAATCTCAAATGTCGAGCCAAAATTCAGGATTTGGCGAGACGGGAAAATGTTTCAAGTAACAAGTAAAATCCTAGCCACGCGAAAGGCTAGGAAAGAGTGCCCAATAGCAGCGTGCCACGTGGCAGCGCACCATGGTGGTTCCGCGCGATGGTGGCAGTGTTCCGTGGTGGCGGCACGTATGACAAGGGGCCGTGGACCCAGTTGACGGGTCATGGACACGAGCCAAAAGAAAATGGCCTAACCGAACCCAACTTGGGGCTCAAGGTAGGGTGACACATGGTTAGTTCACAATTCATGTTAAAATGCCTTGGGGACCAAGTGAGAAAGTGGTCCTCACCTAACCATGTGACACTTGTTACTTGTTCCTTGGTTTATTTAACTAAGGGTTGAATTCATCAATCTTTCCATGTGGGATCTTTTTGTGAAAAAAATCCCATATTGAAATATGAGTGAAATTCACAAGCTATCCTTCCTTATAAATAGCCAAAGCATGGCTTGAGAATTCTTTTCTTGAGTAGCAGTTCAATAGAGCATTGCATTTTGCAAAAACTCTTAAACTCATATAATACTCGGGTTTTGGTTGGACCTCGCTAACCTCGAGGTAACGGACCTAAAAGTCGGTAGTTGTTTTTGCGGGTGGATCTCCGTTGGAGGCTCTCGTGTTTTCAGGGCTAAGCTTTCAAGTAAGAGCCCATTCGGTCGGGCAAAGCACGCTTCAAAGGTATATTTCCTATTTTTCCCTTTGTGATTATTTTATGCTTTAGTGATATTAATTATTGCGAGCGTGATCCTTGGCTCGGGTTTATTTCCGCGGTGAGTCGGACTCACTAAACCCCAACATTAAGTTAAAACTCAGTGGTATATGGTGAAAATTCCGTAAAATTTAATTCACCAAATAATGAATGACTAGTTTGAAATTTAGAAAACTAATCGTTAGTTTTGTTTTTAACACCATGAGTTATATGTACTCAACACATAGCAGCCCTTTTATTTGCTTAACCACAAATTTAACACCATGAGTTATATGTCCAAATAATTTTCCTTAATGTATGAGTGCGTCAGAGTTGCAAACAACTTCTATTCATAAAAAGAAGTGTTACAGACCAGGCAAACAGAGAAAAAAAAAGGGGTTGTCCGCAAGCTAACAGACTTAGAGCTTCTAAGAGTACTTATACATTGAGGAAGATGATTTGAACATATAGCTCAAGATTTTAAAATTGTTGTTAAGCAAAAGAGAGGACTGCTATGTGTTGAGTACTTATGCAAAAAAGGGTGAAAATCAAAATTAACATCTAGTTTCCTAAATTTCAAACTAGTACCTAAAAAATAGAGGGTATTTTGTGTAATTACTTAACAAATTTTGGACATTTGGTGAATTAAAATTTATTGCTCACGGACCTTTAACATTAGGGGTATTTTAAGGTCACGGTGTGAATAATAACAAACGTCGGTGGTATTTGGTAAATTTTGAAAAACATTAGGGTATTTGGTGAATTTTGGAAAAGGTTAAGGGCATTTGGTGAAAAACCCGTAACAGAATTTATATATAATGAAACAGCCAAGTAGTTCTAGAGCAGCACAATGCTACGCTTTGACATCAAAATAGTAATATTTCAGGTAATTTTTGGTGATATCATAGTTGAATCTTCATAAATTGTAAAGATGAGAGTACTGTGAAAGATAAATTTGCTCTAGTATACAATTAGAATAGAGTTTTGACAAATTATGTTGAACTCAAACTACAAGTATAAATTTTGGTACCATCCATAAGAAGTTTAAGCACATAACTCAGGAAAATAGTTGAATATAAACACTCTACAACCACATGCCTAGGTCCTCACCCATGCAACAACATCCAGTGGCACATAACACCTACACCCTTGCTCCCTGCTAATTAATCACATAACACCATTCACAAAATACCTCAGGGTATAACAACATCTCACAATATCCTTGCTGCTTTTACTAAATAACATCTCAAGACATCAGCTCCCCCAGGTCGCCACTATAATCAACACCACCAAACCATACGAACTCTACCACCACCATCATCTTAAATAAATAGTATAAATCAAAAGTAAATTACCTAAGCTACTAGTAGAAAAATGTAAATGACAAGCGGTTCAAATCCCCTAATGGGAAGCGGTTTTGAACTGCATGCGCTTGGGGGACTTTCCATTGTCCATTTAAATGGCAAACAATTCAAAACCGCTTTCCATTTGAAGGTAATGGCAAGCGGTTTGGGCTCCGAACCACTTCCCATTACGCCTTAATAACTAAAAAATATAGTTTTTTTTTTCAATTAAATTGATACACAAGAACTTAACATATGTATAAACATAACTATTTTCATTAATCAATTGCTTCAAAATTACATTTTCTGATCCTTTAAAAAAAATTACATTTTCTGATTTTCATCAAAAAAATAAATACAGTAAATATATAATAAATAACTTAATTTTCTGATTTTCTGCTCTTGTTCCGTTCTACCACCAACCATGCACACCAACAGCCGCGCGCGCCACCGCCTGCCACCTATCACCGCCACCACCTTAACCTGTATCACCACCACTACTAGCACCCTATCCCGATTCACCCGTATCTGTCTAACAAGCACAAAATTTAGGAAAAAAATAACTTATGCTAATCCCAACAATAAATTGAAAAAATAAACAACAATAATTAACTTAATTTTATATCTTAAATTAAAAACAACAAAAGTTTTGCAAAATTAGGATGAATTAGATCTAAATTCCTATCTACATTACGATCTACAAACTTCAACAACTCGGCGAATTCTAGGGCTACTATAACCAACCTCAGACGTCGGACAACCACCATTGCTACTCCTCAACCCTTAACTCGTTGAGCCGGAAAAACTAAACCCTAACGCCTTCTTCATTTTACTCGCTCGTCACTCGTTGGTCGTCACTCGTCGTGGTAAGGCGTGAGAATAGAAAGAAGGGAGGCTGAGAAAAGAGATGAGAGAAGAAAGAGAAGGAGATGGAGAAAGGAGAGGTTGTGAGAATGGAGGGGTGATAAGAGAGAGAAGTGAGGCATGGGAGGAGAGAGAGCGTGAGAAATGAAGGGGAAAGGGGAGAGAGAAGAAGGAGGCGTGAGATTTTTAACGGTTTTTTTTTACAAATGGCAAGCAGTTCAATGTTCAAACTGTTTTCCATTTACAATTTTGCAAGTGGTTCACCCAAAATCGCTTACCATTTGCTTGTTTTAGATTTTTGTAAGGTGAAAGAGAAGAAGGAGGGGTAAGATTTTTAAGGGTTTTTTTTACAAATGGCAAGCGGTTCAAAGTTCAAACTGCCTGCCGTTTACAATTTTGCAAGTGGTTAACCCAAAATCGCTTGCCATTTGCTTGTTTTAGATTTTTGTAAGGTGTTTTTGGAAGCGAAATTCAATAAACCGCTTGTCATTTGGGGCTTCCCATTTACTTTATTCTACTAGTGAAAGTAATTCAAAAAATGAAAAACCTATTACAGTTACTAGAAAAATAATCCCAACCTTAATTCCATGAGTTACACTAAATTAACTTGTGGAAATTTTGGAATTTGATACCTCGAAAATGGGGGGTGTTGAATTTTGGTACCTGTTAAATTTTTTTTATTGATACCCATCAAATTGTAAAATTATAGGTTTTGGTACCTCTATCCATGTTTCATTAGTGGGGCCCATTATTTAATTATTTAATAATTTAATTTATTTAAAAAAGAAAAAAATTTAAAAAACACCTTAAAAAATTTTTAAAAAAAAAACAAAAAACCCAGCCTGCCACCAGCCACTACCACCCTACTACTGTGCCGGCTTCCGGCTGTTGGTGGCCGAATTCCTTAGGCATCGGCGCCGGCGTCGGCCACCCCACCCCCTCCCTTTTCTCCTCCAATCTCGGCCATAAGGGCCACCCCACCCCCTCCCTTTCCCTTTCCCTTTCCCTCCCTGTTTTTCTCTTACCCGAAACCCTAGCGCAACCACCCACCGTCTTCCCTCCCTTCGTCATTCTTGGCCGCCGCGGGAGCAGCTATGGCTGGTATTCGTGTAAAACCATCACACCAAAACCAAATCAAGGGTTTTGATTTTGGGGTATTAGGGTTTCGATGTGGTGGTTTTCAGATAAGGTAGGTCATGGCGACGTGGGGGAGGGGATCTAGGCTGCCAGTGAAGTGGTTTGAGGTGGTGCCCTGGATTTCGGCTACGGTGGTTGGAGAACGGTTTCGGTTCAAGCTAAGGCACCGGTGCGGACTAATAGGGGGGGGGGGCATCGGCGCGGGGAGGCTGGGCTGGGTGGAGGTTGTGGGGAGGTTGATGGGCGCGGGGTTGGTCTACCACCGGCAAAAGGTGGGTGGCTGGTGGTATTAGTGGTTTTTTTAAGGTTTTTTTAAAAGTTTTTTTAATCAATTAAACTATTAAATAATTAGATAATGGGCCCCACTAACGAAAAACTTAACGGAACATGGACGAAGGTACCAAAACCTATAGTTTTACACTTTGATGGGTATCAAAAAAAATTAAACGGGTAGCAAAATTCAACACTCCCCATTTTCAAGGTACCAAATTCCAAAATTTCCTTAACTTGTTTGATAAATTATTTGATTAAACTAAATTAATGATAAGTACATGAAACCAAAATTTAATAACGAAAATTTTAGTTCAAAAATAACAAAACCAAGCAGCTCAAACTATATTAAATAAAACAACAGAGGACTAACTAATGCATATTCATTACTCAATTGAAACTCAAATATTGCCAAGTAAAATTGAAAACACAGCTTAAACCAAAGTCATTAAGTTAAGACATACAAATCAGTATTCCTTAGCTTAACCCCAATCAAAAATTGATTGTCAATTTTGTACAATTGATACATACCTTCTTCGTTCTTCGTTAACATGTTACTCTGAATTCATTTGCAATTGGCGAAGCAAAAAAAAAGGTGAAAACCTAATTCATAAATAATGTAAGTTTGTATCGAATTTCAGCAAATTCCGTAAAATAATCAAATTTTGAAAACAAATTAGATCATAATATTTATAAACTTACATCAAACTGGTATAAAATTTCCCCAAAAAAACTAATTTGAGGAGAGAGAGAGCAACAAAAAGGTTAGAGAGAAAGAGATGTTGAACGTGAAAGCCAAGAAGAATAGCAAAGAATGAAGGAGGTGTAATTCACAAAATTACAAAATGGCACTTCTATGTTTTTTTGGATGGTTAGATTTAATTTAATCAAGCAATGGTCTAGATTTGTTCTCATATGGATTAGAGTTCTCACATAAAGGATTTGTTCTCACATTATCCCTTTTCCTAAAATTGTTGCTGCTAATTCTCTTTCCCTCTCTCTAGAAATTGATCTAGCTTTCCCTTTCTTTCTCTTCTCTCCCATAGTTCTTCGATTGTAATGCCTCAATATCATCAATTTTCAGCTTAAATCTTCGACTATTTTGTTAGGTTTGTAATAATTACTTATTACCTTATATTTTTTTTTATTTCACTTTAAACCTTAGAAATCGTGAAATGCTAAATGGATTCAACATGAGCTCCCAATGACGAAGGAAAATCTCCAATACTTACTTATGAACAAAGAATGTAAGTAACAATTTATTGTTTTTTTAATATTTTGTAGCGTTTTTATCTGCCATCACAATCAATTTATTGATTTTTTCGATTTTTTCATAGTAATTGAGCAATTGAAGAATTGTGTTTTGTATTTCATTTGTATTCTGGAATTTAGAATTAAAATACGGTGATTAAAATCAATATATCTAATTTTTGCAAATGATGTATGAAATTTGATGAATGGTGTTCATTTTCTTTTAATTTAACAATTTTAATTAGCTCATTTTATTTTAATTTTCTCATTTTAATTTGATACGAATGGCCTATGATGATTCCTCAACATTTCAAATTATGTGGATTTTATATTGTCCAAGGAATTTAATACATTCTGATCATTAAAAAAAGGTTTGTTTTTGATAAAATGGTACAGTTACAGAAGTAGAAATGTAGGATTATTTGGGCGTTTCTAAATTATGAGTTTGTTGAAGTAGTTTTGAGAAGTTAGACTAAATATTGATTCTCTTCTATTATAATATTTTGAAGGTCTTATAGAAGTCAGACAAGGAGGTCATGGCAAAGCCCCCATGAACATGCTGGTCTTCTTGGAAGTGGCTTTTTTCCTAGACCTGCTGGTTCACCAATTCCAAGGTTTTGTCCTACTACTGAGAGCACTTTAGGGAGTATGCACTTTTGCTAGAGTTATAATTATGAATTTGTTATGAGAGCTAAGATTTTCGGACTTGACTTTCATTATCACTTTTACTACCTAATCATCCGATTTATCGTTTCCTCTATTCACTTCCATATTTCTATATTTGATTTTTACTATCCTTTCATACATTATTTCAAATATAAACATGTCTTATCTTAGTAACATGATACCTATATACATGTATGAACTCTTAGTGGTCCACTTTTTTTTTCTAGAGATGAACATAAGTGTCTTAGATCAATTTTAGCTCATTTTATTTCATTTTGCTCATTTAAATTTAATTTGTTCATTTTATGTCAGCTTGCTCATTTCAATTAAATTAGTACATCTACAAGTACAATAGTTATATTTTTGTGTCTAAAGCTGGTTTAACTACACATGCTATATAAGTGCACAACAATAGGTAAACTGATTAATCAACTTTTCTGACTCTATATGTCCATTAATTTTAACATGTTAACAGTGTATTGAATAATAAATTGTCTGATTGTTTGTTCATTCTAATTTGCTTATTTTTATTTTCTAATTTGACTATATAATGAATAAACAGAAACTAAATGAGCAAATTCATTATTCTCATTTGACTTCTTATTATCTTTGTTTTCCTTCTTTAACTTCTTATTATCATTGTTTTCTTATTAGAGTTACTATCTTAGTCTAGATTAAGTTAGTCCGTAACAAATATTACACAGCCCAACTTCAAAAGGTTGTTTTGGACTGCTACTGCCGGTATGTCACTTTTTTCTTAACCTGGATCATCTCGACATGTCACAAAGGCAATGATGAGACATATGGAAACATATATGCTTTTGAAGAAATATAATGTTTTATGTTTCCTTTGTTTTAGTTAGCTTACATTTTTTTAAAATTGTAGAAATGTTCAGTGCTATGGATTCTTCAGTTGCTATGGATTCTACTGATACTATTGATTCTACCAATGTTAAATAATGCACTATTGTACCTTTGGAATGGAAAATGTATGTGTTTTCTTATTTGTTCATTTTATGTTTTCTTGATCAGTATATTAGTTATTGTTTGGATAAAACTTGCTCATTTTATGTTTTGTTTTTCATTTATGAAATATCAGGTTTTTCATTTTGTATAGCGTATTTGATGAATGTATAATCTATTTGGAATTGCAGTCATTTGTTAATTTAGCAACTAAGTATTTGCTCATTTGCTAAATGAGCAAAAAATTTATTGCTCATTTCCTAAATGATCAAAGAAATTGTAGACACCCATTTATGTCTCCCCATAACCAAACCCGGTGATGAGTACCTTTCACGTCGAATCATAATCGAATGAAGTAAAAGTGTGGAATGTTTAGTGTTGCGGATAGTTTTAAATTCTTTTCTCTTCTCTCTGTTTTTTTAAAACCTATTTTAAGAAAACATCCAATCCAGTTCGGTTGGTCCATGATATGGGTCCAATAGTAGTGTAGTTGGATAGGGCATGAAAAGAGATTTTCAACGATATATTATAAGCCCAATTTCGATGAATATTGAGGAAGTTATGGCCAAATTACTGAACTGGGCCCGGTTTGAGCCTCATATGCGGCCCAATGATCTAGAGGAGGGCCTAATATAGATTTATCATTCCTAATGCAATTAGGAATGGTTTTAGTCTTCTGGATTCTTCTAGAAGGTTCTTTTCATTCCTAATTCAATTAGCATTGATAAATTGACTTTTGTTGACTTTTAGAGTTTTAATTAGAACAAAAGAATGTTTTTGAGGAAAATACGATTTTATCCTCCTGTATGGCAATTTCTATCTGGTTTTAGGAAACGCGTTAATATTTTAGTCAGCGCCAAACGCCAGCATTAGTGCCTGACGCTACGCTTGGCGCTTGGCGCCTGGCGCTAGCGTTAGCGCTTGGCGCTAATGTCAGCGTCTGGCGCTAACCTCCGTTTTACGCGTCAGAACTCTGTTTTGATTTTTTATCTTTTTGGTTGATTTTCTTTATAAATAGCTTTCTAAATACTCCGTTTTCATTCATGAATTCTCACCAATTCTCTCTATTCATTCACCAACTCTCATCAAGATTTTCTTGATTATTCTCTCCCTCTCTTTTCTAAACTAGCTTTTCTCAAATACAAAATTCCGCATTCGCAAGTCCTAGATACACCTAGCCAAATTCGAAGTTGCCTTCTCCCTAGACGTGAAAGGTTTTAGTTTTTGAGGGTTTGGTCCCAAATCTCTCTTTCAATTATTTAATTTAATTGTTTTGTTTATTATTTTCCTTGAATTACTAACGTGTGTATTTTGTTATTAGAAAGAGGTACGAAACATCCAAGTAAGTACTTTAATTGTTTTATTGTTATTATTATGTAGAAATCATGCTTAGATTGTTATTTCAATTCCTAGTATCATGTTAGGACGTTTTCCTTAATTTTATGTTTAGGGTGACAATAATATTTATGATGCCTTTTATTTTCTTACTAATATTTATGATTATTAGTATCATGTTAGGGCTAAATATTTGATTTTTGATTGTTTAGTGACATGCTAGGGTTTGTTATTAATCTTGTTAGTATCATGCCTAGGATCTTGCTATTATTATGCTTTAACAAGAATATTATGATTATTTTTATAATTATGATTATGATTATGATTATAATTATAATTTATTGTTATTATGTTGCTTGATATTTATTGTTATTGCTTGATCACACCTTTTATTGCATGTTTAAAAGGAATTTGTACTTGTAATCACGCTTAATAAGATAATTAATTAT